TGTCCACACTCCCAGGTCAGGGTTAGAGACACAGTAACGCTCCCTCTACACTGTGCGTCCACACTCCCAGGTCAGGGTTAGAGACACAGTAACGCTCCCTCTACACTGTGCGTCCACACTCCCAGGTCAGGGTTAAAGCTCACACTTACACAGCGCCCCTCACGCCGGGTGGCATCTCGGAGCGCTTGACGATGGCAGAGCCTGGCGCGGAGCTGTGGCGGGAGGGGGGGGGGGGAGTCAGAGAGTCGGAAGGAATCCAGTCACTCAAAGCCTTGTCAGTGCGAAGAGGCACTTGAGCTGGTGCCGAATGCAGGAGAGCAGTGAAAGTAAGCGAGGGAGTGAGAGTAAGAGTGAGGACACACACGCACACACACACACAGACGCTCTTACCTCGTCTGCCTTACACGTGAGCAGCTCTGGGCTCAGACACAGGCAGGAAATGTGCTTTTTTAAACCGTTCGGTTTGAGATACGAGACTAGCTTTTTCGCAACTCTTAAAGTGACAGTCACATCGAGCCGGGGGCAGCCTGTGTGAGGGCATTGGCTTCCTGTGGGCCCCTTTAACTCCGTCAGGCGCCGGCTGACACTTCACTGGGGTCGGTGACTTTGCCCCAACCTGTGCCAACGTCCTGTCCACACTCAACCCCCTCCACCCACTCACACACACGCAGACACATACAATCACACACACACACACCGACACAATCACGCACACACTCACACGCACACACACCGACACACTCACACTTCAAGAGGCAAGCTCACGAACGCACGCTTACACACGCAGCCACATTCACACACGTGTACGTTTACATACACGCTTGCGCGCCCACTGATCCATTTACACGCACACTGGCCCCGCGCACGCACAGACTGACGCCGTTCCGTAGACGACTGACAGACGCACACTTACACACAGGCAGAGACACGCTCACGCTGACGCGCGCACGCTCACACACGTGTGGGGCGGTGGAAGGGAGGGGGAAGAGCTGTTAAACATGGAGGAGAGGCAAACCAATGTATGAGAGGAAATAGCACGGTCTCCAAGGGAACGGCTGGTCTGTATTTAGACCCAGTGAAGGGGGGACCACACCTTTTCCTCCTCTGATGCTATCAGCCCCAGATTTCACTCATTTCCAAAAAAATAAAGGCTTCAGTTAACAGCGACCTTTCACCCTCGCTCGTGTCGGGTCGTGAGAGAGCCCAGAGAGAGAGAGTGGCCAAAACTCTTTGACCCCCTTCCCGTATTTCTCCGCCTCGCCCCATTCCCTCCTTTTTGAACAGCAGACTCAATGATAATCCTTCCGTTTGACCCGGCGCCTTATCGCGTCGTCGAGACGTCTCAAAGCGCTCCACAGGACGCACGGTAAAAGTAGAGCGAGCGTGCGTTTTGCGGGCGAAACTCCGCAGCCGAGACAAGCGCCTCAAGGCGTCCATTTTGAACCGAAGCACATTTCTTCGAACCATTTCCTTCTTTCCCTCAGGAGAGCTCACATCCGTTTACAAACTTCCCAGCCAGACATTTGTTTGTTCAGACACCGGGAATATGGGTCAAATGACCCCTCGAGGGACCGACAGCCCAAAGCCATGCTGTTTATATGGAGTCCTGTAGCTCGGGGGATAGACCTTAGGTAAGTTTCCTTACTCCACAGACACACACACACACACGGCCAGACACAGACAGACACAGACAGACACACACAGACACAGACAAACACACGGACAGACGCACACGCCCGTGTTTATCAGCAGTCAGCAGGAACCCGCTTGTTAGTCGATTGGCGGATCGCTTTCTGGGGATTTTAATCCCTTTGAAAAAATAATCATTTGTTCGCTCGATCCACGAGTGTTTGTGGGGACGTCGCCGGGCGCGATTGGCTGCCGCGTTTCGCCCACCAAACACACAGTCACTCCACTCACGAGGGCTCTAACCACTCCGCAGCAGGACTTCACTGAGAGCAAGCTGTGACGCAGGCTGTTACTGGCAGAGGCTCGAGTGAGTTGCGCAGTGCACGCGGATCCTCAAACTGTCAGAGTCCTCAAGAGTTATTGGCTGTTTGACTGCGGAGACCAGATTCTGAGGCCCGTAACCGACCGCGAATTCTGCCGTTTCCTCATTTCCTACGCACTTTCAACCCGGAGACTTTCATACGCGGCGCTCAAATAAATGCGCCTTGTGTTTGTTCGATCTGTTGTGGTCGTTTAAGCCGCACCGTTGTACGGAGGGAACTTTAATGAGAGCCGTTGCAAAGCGTGGAGTTCCTTAGCGTCGTGGTTAGCGAGCTTGCCCCAGGGGAGAGCGCGAGACCGAGCGAGGGAGAGAGAGAGAAACTCTCGACAACGCAGTAATAATAAGAATCCCGGCATTTGACCCGGCGCCTGATCGCCTCGTCGAGACGTCTCAAAGCGCTTCACAGGATACACTGTAAAGTGGAGTGACTGTGTGTCCTGTGGGCCAAGCGCGGCAGCCGATCGCGCCCGGCGACGTCCCCACAAACAGCCGTGGGTTGAGTGACCAAATTATTATTTTTTTGAGGGGATTATTACCCCCGGAAAAGCGATCCCCCGATCGACTGACATTCACTGGAACGTCAGCTGAGACTGTGATTCCAAGTCCCGATGTGGCGGGGTGGGGGTGGGGGTGAGGGGCTCGAACCCACAAAGAGAGGGAGACGCCAGCGGTTTAGGGGCCATTGTGTGCTGGGATGCACATTGTGGACAATAAGAGACGCTGAGACGCAGACAGAGGAAGCGAGTCAAATGGAGACTCTCTATTCTGGGACAGTTAGTTCCTTCAACGTCTGTGTTAAAAAAAATAGAGGAACTGTGTATTCAACCCCCAAACCCCTCTCTCTCTCTCCTCTCTCCCACCCCCCGCACCCCCCTTCTCTCTTTCCCCCCCCGCCCCACCTCGCCCCACCTACGTTCTGAGCTCCCATCTGCCTGTTCAGCTGCACGTTACAGAGCGAGGGATTTTATTTGGGGTGGGGGAAGCGGGTCGGTCCTGACGGACAATCCCCCCCCTACCCCCCCAAATAAAATCGCTCGCTCCATGGCACGTCGCTGGGCGCAAACGGGCTGCCCGCAAAGCCCTGGAATCCCGCGAAGCGCTTTGAGGCTTACCCCCGACGTGGCAAGGCGCTGTGTCGAAGGATTGTGTGGACGGTTCTTCTTGCGGCTCCCGCTGAGGGTTCGGTTAGAGCTTTGCCCCAGTTTAGTCCAAGATGGCGGTTTCTGAAAAGCCGTCTTAATTTTAGAAGCTTGGTACTGTTCAAGAACCGCGAGTGTCGAAACCACAAGGTCTCGAATTTGTCACAGAACGGCACGTACTTCCACCCCACACGCACACATCTCGTTCCTCTCTGCCTCTCTCCTCCTCTCTCTGTCTTGTCTCCCTCCCTCCTTCTCTCCCCGCTACTCACCCTCAGCTGTCTGTCTGTCCTCTCGGCCGGGCAGGTCTGAGACGCAGGGCAGGTGTCTGGGTCTGTGTGCGCGGGCGGGAGAGTCTGAGGGAGACAAGGCGCTATCTCTCTCTCTCTCTCTCTCTCGCGCTCTCTCTCTCTCTGCTCAGTATCAGTCAAAGTCATCAACTTCCTACAGGAACTGACTACACTGCTTTTGGTTTGTCAGTGCGAGTTTGAAAAGAGAGGAAACGTGAGGAGATGATAGACTTCCTCGAGTCCAAATTTGAGGAGATCGCTCAGCTGCCTCCGGCCTCTCTGCCGACCACAACACATGGCGTTTACCCCGCGTCCGCCTTTCACGTCGGGAGGACATCCCAAAGGCGCTGGACAGTCAGGGATTTGGACCCGAGCTGGGGGTTGGGATCAGGAAGGGTGTGGAGGGCGGAGAGGGTGGGGCGAGGAGGGTGACCGAAGGCAGTGGAGGGTCTTGAGATGGGCCTCGAGAGAGGGAGTGAGGTGGTGGGACCGTTGGATGGAGTTCCAGAGGGTGGGGTGGGGGCAGAGAGGCTGAAGGTCTGACCGGCGATGGTGGGCTGGGGCTGAGGCAGGGGCCGTGAAGCAGCCCGGAGCCTGCTGAGCGGAGGGAGCGGGCAGGCTGATATGGGGTTAGGGGGTCACAGAGGTAAGGGGGGAGCAAGGCCGTGGAACCAGGCAAGATTCTGCCCTTGCCTGGTTCAAATCTTACCTTTCCCCATCATCTCCACAAACGGTTTCCCCTCCACCCCCCGCACCGTCTCGTGCAGCATTTCTCAGGGCTCTGTCCTTGGTCCTCTCCTCTTCAATATCTATATGCTCCATCTTGGTAACATCGGGTCAACTTATGACACTCGACTGTACCTACACCTTCCCCCTTGACTCCAGGACCCACTGCTGTCCTGACACAATGTCTGTCAGACACCAAGTCCTGGATGAGAGCAAACTTTCTTCAGTTGAACGTCAACAAGACCGAGGCTCTCCTGATTGGCGCTGACAGCATCACCATCCATGGTTGCACCCTCCACCTCACTGAGCCAGTCCAGAACCTTGGGGTCTTGTTTGACCCTCAACTATCCTTTCTACCCCACATCCATACCATGACACGCTCTGCCTTCCTCCACCCTCTCCGCCTCCGCCCTCTGGAACTCCATCCCTCCGCTCCACCTCACCCCCTCCTCGCCTCTTTCAAGGCCTGTCTGAAGACCCTCCTCTTCGACCGTACCTTCGGTCACCCTCCTACCCCCACCCCCGTTGCTCTTGACCCCTCCTGATCCCAACCCTCAAATCCCTGACTGTCCAGCACCTTGGGATGTGCTCCCGACGTGAAAGACGCTGCGTAAATGCGATATGTTGTTGATGTTGGCTATTTGGAATGGAAGAGATGATTGTTTGAGAGCTTTAAGGTTTAATGAATCCACACACTAGGGTTGTAGTACAGGAAACCCAAATACCTGGTCCCATTTACCCCTAAACTAACATCCTGGACAGAGGAACCAAATACATACATCAGAGCACCTTTACATCACAGTGTGTCAGCCTGGCTCAGTTGCTCGTTCTGTCTCTCACCTCCGAGTCAGAAGGTTGTGGGGTCAAACCCCTACATGTCAGGACTTGGAATCACACGGTCTAAGCTGACGCTCCAATGCAGAGCGTTGGGGGGGTGTTGGATTGTCGGAGACGCCGTCCTTCGATGAGACATTGAACCTCACTCTCTCCCTGTCTGCCTCTTCAAGTGGATGATAAAGATCTCCCAGGGCACTATCCGAAAATAGAAGGGAGTGTCTCGCTCTCTGTCCCAGAGTCCTGGCCAACAATCCCCCAAATAAAATTGGTTGCTCACTCCACGACTGTTTGTGGGACGCTGCTGTGTGCAAACTGGCTGCCGAGTTTCGCCCACAAAATACACAGTCACCGCGCTTCACGGTATGGCCTGTGAAGCACTTTGGGACGTCTAGACAACATTATAAGGTGTTACATCAAGTGCAAAGATTGTTACTGTTACTGTAGTAAAACTCACAGAAGCCTTATCTTTATAAATCGTTTTTTTTTTGGTGGGGGGAGGTCAGCCAAGGTGTCTGACACGTGCGGAAACCCATCACCGTGCTTAATAGTCTCCAAACCAAGCTGGGAATTCCACGCATCCCATCCTGCTACGTAATTCCAGAGAGTATTAGGCGCAGGTTGGGCGAGAGCCAAGGCTTGGAAGGGGGGGGGGGGAGAGCCCACAGTGTGCGTTGGGGTAACTGCGGGAGTCTAACCAGCACAAACCACACAGCTTGGCCATCGAGAGAGGGAGAGCGCTGTCTGGCCAGCGTTCCCGCGGCAGCCAATTGCGCACAGCAGTCGTGGATTGAGTGACCAATTTATTTATTTTATTTTATTACGACTGTTTGTGGGACATTGCTGTGCGCCATTGGCTGCCGCGTTCGCCCACAAATATACAGTCAATTCACTTTACAGTGTGTTCTGTGAAGCGCTTTGGGACGTCCTCCCGACGTGAAAAGCGCTATATCAAATGCAAGGATTATTATTATTATTTTGGGGGGAATTATTATCCCCGGAAAAGCGATCCGCCAATCGACTAACAACCGGGTTCCTACTTACTGCCGGTAAACAGAGGCGCGTGTGGGGAATAAGGGAACTTGCCCATCGTTTCGCCCAGACTTGCCTGGGAATCGAACCCAGGCCCTCTCGCTTGAGAGGGCGAGTGTTCTAACCCCTGAGCTACAGGACTCCACGGTTATACAGATGTGTCTGCAACTCGGGACTTTGCGTAAGTCATAGTACATGATGTGTAACTCATAGTCAATGGTATTTTTACTGTGTTAAGGGCTGGTGTGGGGAAGGAGGGAGGGAGGTGGCAATGGGTACACAGGGGGCGCTATCTGGGCGACAGGGAGAGAGAGGGCTCAGACCAGTGAGCAGGTGATGCTCCTAAACACCGGGCCTGGCACTGGGCGGTGGGTATGGCTGGTGAGGGGCACTGTGTGTGGGCTGGGGGCATCAGGGCAGTCGAGGGCCTCGGATTTCCTGCTCCTCTTGGTTTCCAATGATGGCTTCCCCATCTCGGCTGTAGGGGGCGCTATCTCCTCTGTAGCCACTGGTTCATCCTGAGGGTCACCTCCTGTCTTCTCAATGACGTTTGTGCTGTGGGTTTAGACAGAGTAACACACAGTGTGTTATCATATAATACAGTGTCATAATAATAATAATCCGTGTGTGTGTGTGTGGGGGAAGGAAACTTGCCTAAAGTCTCGCCCTGTCCTGTCCCACCCGGGAATCGAACCCGGGTCCTCTCGCTTGCGAGGCGAGCGCAATAACCCCTGAGCTACGGGACTCCGCAGCCAGTGTTACAGCCAGTAACGCACCGTGTGGTGTTACATAGTATACAGGAGCGTTCTGCCCAGTCTCTGTGTATGGAGAGTCCTGAGCTGCGGTCACGGCAGTTGTCCAGGGGGAGGCGTTGTCACTCACCTCGAGGTGCTGTCCTCATTCGCTCTGTCCTGGTCCCCGGGATGAGACATGGCAGCGGAGAGGTCCTGCTTGCCTTTCAGCCAATATGTCTTCATATAGCCCTTCCCCTGAAGGCAAGACTGACAGATTAAACTCCCTTCGTCACCGAGCTCCACGCTCTCACCACAGTTCCTCTCGGCCTGAGCCTCATGACCAATTGTCTCTAATATAATATAACAATAATCCCGGCATTTGACCCGGCGCCTGATCACGTTTTCGAGACGTCTCAAAGCGCTTCACGGGACACGCTGTTCAGTGGAGTGACTGTGTATTTTGTGGGCGAAATGTGGCAGCCAATTGCGCCCGGCGACGTCCCCACACACGGTCATGGAGCGAGAGACCACATTATTATTATCATTGTTTATTGAAGGGATTATTACCCCCGGAAAGCGATCCGCCAATCGACTAACAAGTTCCTACTTACTGGTGGTAACCAGAGGCGCGTGTGTGTGTGTCTGTGTGTGTGTGTCTGAGTGTGTGTAGAAAACTTGCCTGAGGTTTTGCCCTGACCTGACCCGCCCGGGAATCCAACCCAGATCTATGTAAGCTATAGTCCTCACCTTCACAAATATCTTCCCCCGTTCCTCGATTATGTACGGCTCATGTTCCAGATGGTCCTTGGAAGTTTGACTGATGTGTATTTGCATCCCCTGATGTACACAGACACAATGAGATCTCACACTACAGTGTCCACACTCCCAGGTCAGGGTTACAGACACAGTAACGCTCTACACTGTGTGTCCACACTCCCAGGTCAGGGTTACAGACACAGTAACGCTCCCTCTACACTGTGTGTCCACACTCCCAGGTCAGGGTTACAGACACAGTAACGCTCCCTCTACACTGTGTGTCCCACACAGTAAAGCTCCTCTACACTGTGTGTCCACACTCCCAGGTCAGGGTTAGAGACACAGTAACGCTCCTCTACACTGTGTGTCCCACACAGTAAAGCTCCTCTACACTGTGTGTCCACACTCCCAGGTCAGGGTTAGAGACACAGTAACGCTCCTCTACACTGTGTGTCCCACACAGTAAAGCTCCTCTACACTGTGTGTCCACACTCCCAGGTCAGGGTTACAGACACAGTAATGCTCCTCTACACTGTGTGTCCACACTCCCAGGTCAGGGTTACAGACACAGTAAAGCACTCTCTACACTGTGCGTCCACACTCCCAGGTCAGGGTTAGAGACACAGTAAAGCTCCTCTACACTGTGTGTCCACACTCCCAGGTCAGGGTTACAGACACAGTAACGCTCCCTCTACACTGTGTGTCCACACTCCCAGGTCAGGGTTACAGACACAGTAAAGCTCCTCTACACTGTGTGTCCACACTCCCAGGTCAGGGTTAGAGACAGGAGATTAGTAACCTCACCACTCCGTTACTCTCCATGCGAGAAGCTGTGTTCACTGTGTCTCCAAACAGACAATATCGCGGCATCATCACACCCACCACACCGGCTACAACCATCCCCGAGTGGATTCCTGATGGCAAAAGAGGCGACATTAATTCCCATTGATTATGCCAACTCCCTGCTTGTCGACCTCCCCAACTCCTTCCTCCACAGACTGCAGATCATCCAAAACTCTGCACCCCGTGTCCTCTCTCGCATCAGGTTCCATGACCCTATCACCCCCATCCTCCCCCAACTCCTCTGGTTTCCCATCACACAGATGATACAGTTCAAGATCCTGGTCCTCACCTTCAAAGCCCTCCATGGCCTCACTCCCCCCGACCTCTGCGACTTCTTCACCCCCTACCATCCTGCTCGCTCCCTCCGCTCAGCGGGCTCCGGCCTGCTTCAAAACCCCGGCCCAGCCCAGCTCCATTCCCACATTCCCTCCGCCTCGCTCGCCCCATTATTGGCGGGCGGACCTTCTGCCATTCTTCCCCCATCCTCTGGAACTCCATCCCACAGTCCCTCCGCCTCGCCCCCTCCTACACACACACATACACACACACACATTGCCCATCACACACAGACACACACTGCCCCACCCCGGACACTGACCAACGCGGATTTGGATGTTGTCCCCGGTTGAAGGGTCTCGGAGGTGATCGATGGAACTGAGCATATCCACCGCCATGTCACAGATGTGGTGGGCGTGGAAGGTGGTCTTGTTGGGGACCCCAGCCACAACCATATAAGCATCGCGGATTGTCTCCACCTGCCAGAGAGAGTGAGGGAGAGTGGGAGAGAGAGAGTTTGTGAGAGAAAGAGACACAGTGTGAGAGCGAGAGTATGTGAGAGAGCGCAAGAAGGTTTGAGAGCGAAACAGTGAGAGAGAGTAACAGAGAGAGTGAGTGAGAGTGAGAGGGAGAGGAGTCGAGAGAGGAGACACCCCATCAGACCGCAGTGGTTACCTTATAGACATTATGCTTCTCGCTCAGGGTATCAAACACAATGTATATCTCATTGAGCATGTCCACCACCTGCATGGGGGTGATGTGCATACAGATCTCATTAAACTTCACCACATCACTGAACAGGATTGTCACATCAGGAAAAACCTGCCACACAGAGAGAGTGAGAGAGAGAGAGAGAGTCACTGAGGGTCTCACGCACATTGCCTCTATCCCTCCCTCCCTCTCCGTCCCTCCCTGGGGCGAGGATGATGCAAGGATAATAATCCTGGCGTTTGACACAGCGTCTCATCACGTCTTCGAGGTGTCTCAAAGCGCTTCACGGGATACGCTGTAAAGTCTTGTGGCTGTGTGTTGTGTGGGCGCACAGCGATGCCCCCACAAACAGCGGTGGTTTGAGTGACTGAATTATTGTTATTTTGAAGGGGTTATTACCCCCGGAAAGCGATTCCCCCAATCGACTGACAAGCGGGTTCCTATTGACCGCCGGGGAGCAGGTGTGTGTGTGTCTGTGTGTGGGGAGTAAGGAAACTTGCCTAAGGTTTCGCACTGTCCTGACCCACCCGGGAATCGAACCCGGGTCCTCTTGCTTGCGAGTCGAGGGCTCTAACCACCGAGACACAGGATGGGGTTGAGGAGGGGCGTACGGAGTCTGGCGAGGAGGGTGAGGAGGTGGGTACAGAGCCTGGCGAGGTTGGCGTGGTGGGTAGGTACCTGACAGGTCTCGAGGGCGGTCACGCCTTTACGGAGACGGTCAGCCACGGCTTTGGGGATCATGGCGTACAGCAGCGAGTCCCCACGCTTTTTCTCCTCGTCTAATTTCTTGATGATCTCCTGAAGCTGAGCGTATTTCTGCTGTTCCTGAGGTCAGAATATTAGACATTTAATAGTGTTCGCATTCCCTCACCGTCTCTCTCTCTCTCTCTCTCTCTCTCACTTACACACTCTCTCTCGCTCTCTCTGACCTGGTCGAGAGCGAGCTGGAGCTCTGCTGATTGCTGAGTTCCGGCGAGAATCAGCTCCCGGCTCGAGTCGTGGAGATTCAGGTCGTTCACATAAACCCCCATCTTTATCATGTCCTCCACCGTCTCTATGCTGAGAGAGAGAGAGAGAGAGAGTGTCAGTGTGAGTGTGCGAGCGAGTTATGTGAGTGAGGGTGAGCGAGTGTGCGTGCGTGCGAGGGTCAGTGTGAGCGGGTGTGATTGTGAGCGGGTGTGAGCGTGTGAGTGTGAGTGAGCACTCACATGGGGGTACCCAGGAAGATGAGCGAGTCCCACTGGGGAACATACTTCATTTGTCCCTTCAGGTGGAGAGGTTTCTTCGGAGGTTCCCGTATGTCCTCAAAAATCTTATCATTGCAGCGTCCTGCACACAGCACACAGCTCTGTGAAGAGCATGGAGGGGGGGCGAGGGGGGGTGGGAGGGGGCGAGAGGGGGCGAGAGGTGGCGAGAGAGGGTGGGGGGGCCGAGTGAGGATTGGTGAGTGGGCGGGAGGGGTCGAGCGTGGGTGGGAAGGGGCGAGAGGAGGTGTGAGGGGATGGGAGGGCCCAAGAGGGGTTGGAGGGGCTGAGAGGTGCCTGGAGGCATAGGTGGGTGAGTGGGTGGGTGGGTGGGTGGGTGGGTGGGCGAGAGGGGCGGAATCTTACCTGTGATGGTCTGGAACGCCAGCAGTTCAATATCCTCCACAGGGAGGTTACTGCTGCTGTAATATGAGGAGCTGCTGTACTCGGGGTCAGAGCCACACTCCTCATTCCCCTTCACATCTGTAACAGCTCAGCGTTAGTGACACAGTAACGCTCCTCTACACTGTGTGTCCACACTCCCAGGTCAGGGTTACAGACACAGTAACACACAGTCACTACACTCCCAGGTCAGGGTTACAGACACAGTAACGCTCCTCTACACTGTGCGTCCACACTCCCAGGTCAGGGTTACAGACACAGTAACACACAGTCACTACACTCCCAGGTCAGGGTTACAGACACAGTAACGCTCCCTCTACACTGTGTGTCCACACTCCCAGGTCAGGGTTACAGACACAGTAATACACAGTCACTACACTCCCAGGTCAGGGTTAGAGACACAGTAACGCTCCTCTACACTGTGTGTCCACACTCCCAGGTCAGGGTTACAGACACAGTAACACACAGTCACTACACTCCCAGGTCAGGGTTAGAGACACAGTAACGCTCCTCAACACTGTGTGTCCACACTCCCAGGTCAGGGTTAGAGACACAGTAACACACAGTCACTACACTCCCAGGTCAGGGTTAAAGACACAGTAACGCTCACTCTACACTGTGCGTCCACACTCCCAGGTCAGGGTTACAGACACAGTAACACACAGTCACTACACTCCCAGGTCAGGGTTACAGACACAGTAACGCTCCCTCTACACTGTGCGTCCACACTCCCAAAGGACAGTGTCTCTGACACTGTGGCGCTCTCACTCTTCCTCTCTTCCCCCCCCACACCCACCTGGTTGCACTGTCTTGAGCTCAGAGCCCCCGACATGTGCGTGGCGGGCGGGGGTCGAACCCACAAGCTCCTGTCTCGGAGGCGAGGGTGTGAGACGGAGGCTGAGATCATGAGATGGAACCTGACCTCTTTCCTCCTCCTCTTTGTCCTTCTCCTCCTCTTCCTCCTTCTCCTCGTTCTTGTCGTTGCTCTTGGCGCTGCCCAGCTTGTGTTTGCTCTCCACCACTGCCTTGGACATCAGCTCAAACACATTGTTCAGGTGGGTGCACATCTGAGGGCGTCGAGAGAGGGAGCGTGAGGGAGAAAGAGAGACGGGCGGGGGTGGGTGGGTGTGGGTGGGGGTGGGGGGGGAGCGAGAGAGAGGGAGTGCGGTTTACAAACTGACATGATTTACACGAGGAGCGGTTCCACAGCGGTGTCTCACAAACAGTCGTGGATCGAGCGACCAAATCAGATCTTACGAGCTGTTTGCGAGGACGTGGCTGCGGGAAGGGATCCCACGGCCCGAAGGCTGGTGGATATCCACTCACATTGTCAAGATGGCGGTCGATAAATACTTGTTAGGTCGGGGCATTGAGGGGCAAAGGTGGGAGATTTGACTTGAGGTACCGATCGGCCACGATCTGACAAAATGGCGGAACGGGGGGAGGGTGGGGGGGGGGGGGGGGGGGAGGCTGAATGGCCTCCTCCCGTTTCTACGCCGAGGGTAGCTGTGGAGTCCTGCAGCTCAGTGGTCAGAACACTCGCCTCGCAAGCGAGAGAGGGCCTGGGCTCCATTGCTATTACCGTCCACGTCCGCAGGACCCCTGGACGGACGAGCCCTGCCGCACACGTACATTGTCCCAGTTGAACTCCAGCATGGGACGGACGAGGGTGAACTCATCGTTGACTTTCTTCCCTTGCAGATCCGAGAAGACCTCTTTGAGCCCGTCCCCGATGCGGTACATGGTCATGTCCCTTCGGAAGATCACGCTGAAGGGGAACATTTCGAAGAAGATGCTCCTCTTCATGGGCAGCTTCTTGTAGCCGGGCGCCGCCTTCTGCTGGGGCATGCGGTGCTTGAAGGCAGCGTTGTCGAAGTTCATCTTGTACACCACGTAGGTCATTTTTTCCGTCTCCTCCTTCGAGAGGATTTCCACCGCGATGTTCGTGTTGTAGAACTGACGGCCGACCTGGGAGAGCTGGCCTGCGCGGGGGGGGGGGGGGGGGGGAAGGGGGTTAGTGGGGCGGGGTGGGGTGGGGTGGGCGGGGGGGAGAGAGGGAGTGTGTGTGTGTGTGTGCGAGAAGGGGAGAAAGAGACGGGAGGGGAGGGAGGGAGGGAGAGTGTGCGCGTTTGTGAAGGTGAGCGAGAGAGGGTGGGGGGGGGGGGGGAGAGAGGGAAAGAGAAAGACAGAGGGAGAGAGAGGAGAGAGGGAGGGAGGGGGGAGACGAGAGAGAGAAGGAAAGAGAGACGGGTGGGGAGAGAGATAGGGAGAGAGAGACAGGGCAAGAGAAGGAGAGTGTGGATGACATGTGAATGAATCCATAACTTGAGACCAGCGGAACAAACCCAGATCGAGTCTGGAACTCCATCCCACAGTCCCTCCGTCTCACCCCCTCCATCGCCTCCTTCGAGGCCCGTCTCAAGACCCTCCTCTTCGACCACGCCTTCGGTCACTCTCCTACCCCCACCCCACCCTCCCCGCCCTCCACCCCCTCCTGATCCCAACCCCCAGCTCGGGTCCAAATCCCTGGGACGTCCTCCTGACGTCTCTGTTTCTCTCACGCTCCTTCTCTCTCACACTCCCCCTCTCTCTCTCTCTCACTCCCCCCGTCTCTCTCACACTCCCTCTCTCTGTACCTTTGACAAACTGGGTGAATCCCTTTCGAGTGCTCCTGTAGTGCAGAGTAAGGCTGCGTTCACACTCCTCCTCCACACAGAAGCTCGGCGGCTGCACTTTGGGGAACGAGAAGCGGAAATACTCGTGCAGGTTGTCCAGCTCGTTTATAAAGTCCCGCACGTTCCTGCCCAGCACCTGAGAGAGAGAGTGACAGCGTGAGAGAGTGACAGCGTGAGAGAGTGACAGCGTGAGAGAGTGAATGAGAGAGTGACAGCGTGAGAGAGTGAATGAGAGAGTGACAGTGTGAGAGAGTGAGTGAGTGAGTGAGTGAGAGAGTGACAGTGTGAGAGAGTGAGTGAGAGAGTGACAGTGTGAGAGAGTGACAGCGTGAGAGAGTGAGTGAGAGAGTGACAGTGTGAGAGAGAGTGAGTGAGTGAGAGAGTGACAGTGTGAGAGTGTGAGAGAGTGAGTGAGTGAGAGAGTGACAGCGTGAGAGAGTGACAGCGTGAGAGTGAGTGAGAGAGTGACAGCGTGAGAGAGTGACAGCGTGAGAGAGTGACAGCGTGAGAGAGTGACAGCGTGAGAGTGACAACGTGAGAGAGTGACAGCGTGAGAGAGTGACAGCGTGAGAGTAAGGGGGAGAGTGACACTCAAACAGACATACGGAGAAAGAATGTGCATGTGACTGTGTGAGAGACAAACAGAGAGAGAGAGAGAGAGAGGGTGTGACGGGGAATGTGTGAGAGTGAAAGAGAGAGACGGTGAGAATCTGAGCGTGTGAGTGAGCGTGAGTGAGCGTGAGTGAGTGTGAGCGAGTGTGAGCAGTGTTCACCTTGAGGATCCTCTCGTAACCATAGTTTCCGATGCGTTTAACCATATAAACCCCAAAGGCGTACATCAACTCATCGTGAGTCTTTCCCAGGACCTCACCAGCCGCCTTAGCTAAGCGCAAGATCAGATTGTCACTGTGACGGAGAGAGGGAGGGAGGGACGGAGAGTGAGGGAGGGAGAGACACAGAGAGAGAGAGAGAGAGAGAGAGAGACGGAGAGTGAGGGAGGGAGAGACACAGAGAGAGAGAGAGACGGAGAATGAGACAAAGACAGAGAGGGTGACAGACCCAGAGCGACGCAGAGTGAGACGGAGAGAGTGAGTGAGACGGCGAGAGTGAGTGTGAGAGGCAGAGACGGAGTGACAGAGAGAGCGACACGGAGAGAGGGAGAGAGGCAGAGAGTGACAAAGACAGAGAGAGCTTCTCACTTGTACATCTGGTGTCTGACAAACTTGAGGTGTGGGATCTCTGCTCGAGCCTCGATCAGCCTCCACACGTCCTCACCGTACGATTCGTTAATGTAATCATTAACAGCCTCGAGATACAGCCCATACATCGTCACTCTCAGCTTCACTCCCACGTCTGCTACTCACACTAACACAGGAGGAGAGGACATTAAACCCTATACACTCTGAGACTCCAGGTCAGGGTTAGCGACACAGTAAAGCTCCTCTACACTGTGTGTCCACACTCCCAGGTCAGGGTTAGAGACACAGTAACGCTCCTCTACACTGTGTGTCCACACTCCCAGGTCAGGGTTAGAGACACAGTAACGCTCCTCTACACTGTGCGTCCGTCCACACTCCCAGGTCAGGGTTAGAGATACAGTAAAGCTCCTCTACACTGTGCGTCCGCCCACAGTCCCAGGTCAGGGTTACAGACAGCAGTCAGGAGAGAGGAATCACTCACGTGCAGGGTGTCTGGCCAGACTGTGCCTCTGTCAATGGGGAATGAATGTCAAACTGGGGATAGACTGACACTGAGTCTTGTGGCTCGGAGATAGTCAATAGGACCTTTGGTCTCATTCTCTCTTCCTGATGTTCTCTCCAGCTGTCTCTGACACTTGCGGAGAGAGAGACTGGTGTTTTTGTCAGGTTGACAAGACATCACATTGCAAGACACAATTGGTGCACCATCAGGGAGGGGGGAGTGTGGACTGACGCACAGTGTAGAGGAACTTTTACTATGTCTCCAACACACCCAGGAGTGTGGACACACAGTGTAGAGGAGCTTTACTGTGTCCCTAACCCTGACCTGGGAGTGTGGACACACAGTGTAGAGCTTTACTGTGTCTGTAACCCTGACCTGGGAGTGTGGACACACAGTGTAGAGGGAGCGTTACTGTGTCTCTACCCCTGACCTGGGAGTGTGGACACACAGTGTAGAGGGAGCGTTACTGTGTCTGTAACCCTGACCTGGGAGTGTGGACACACAGTGTAGAGGGAGCGTTACTGTGTCTGTAACCCTGACCTGGGAGTGTGGACACACAGTGTAGAGGAGCTTTACTGTGTCTGTAACCCTGACCTGGGAGTGTGGACGCACAGTGTAGAGGAGCGTTACTGTGTCTGTAACCCTGACCTGGGAGTGTGGACACACAGTGTAGAGCTTTACTGTGTCTCTAACCCTGACCTGGGAGTGTGGACACACAGTGTAGAGGAGCGTTACTGTGTCTGTAACCCTGACCTGGGAGTGTGGACACACAGTGTAGAGGGAGCGTTACTGTGTCTCTAACCCTGACCTGGGAGTGTGGACACACAGTGTAGAGGAGCGTTACTGTGTCTCTAACCCTGACCTGGGAGTGTGGACACACAGTGTAGAGGAGCTTTACTGTGTCTGTAACCCTGACCTGGGAGTGTGGACGCACAGTGTAGAGGAGCTTTACTGTGTCTCTAACTCTGGATGGAGTTGGGCTGTGAGATGGTGTCAGTCTGTCACTTGCAGCTTCTGTCCTCACCAACAGCTGCGGTGTTAACCCTCACATTACGAACACTTACAATGACTGAGTTTGTGTGTGTATGTGTGTGACAGTGCGTGTGCCTCAATGTGTGCGTGTGTGTGTGTGTGAGTGTGCCTCAGTGTGTGTGTGTGTGCCTCAGTGTGTGTGTGTGAGTGTGCCTCAGTGTGTGTGTGTGTATCTCAGTGTGTGTGTGAGAGTGTGCGTGTATCTCAGTGTGTGTGTGTGTGAGAGTGTGCGTGTATCTCAGTGTGTGTGTGTGAGTGTGCCTCAGTGTGTGTGTGTGTGTGTGCCTCAGTGTGTGTGTGTGAGTGTGCCTCAGTGTGTGTGTGTGTATCTCAGTGTGTGTGTGAGAGTGTGCGTGTATCTCAGTGTGTGTGTGTGCGTGTATCTCAGTGTGTGTGTGTGAGTGTGCCTCAGTGTGTGTGTGTGAGTGTGCCTCAGTGTGTGTGTGTGAGTGTGCCTCAGTGTGTGTGTGAGAGTGTGCGTGTATCTCAGTGTGTGTGTGTGCGTGTATCTCAGTGTGTGTGTGTGTGAGAGTGTGCGTGTATCTCAGTGTGTGTGTGTGCGTGTGCCTCAGTGTGTGTGTGTGAGTGTGCCTCAGTGTGTGTGTGTGTATCTCAGTGTGTGTGTGAGAGTGTGCGTGTATCTCAGTGTGTGTGTGTGCGTGTATCTCAGTGTGTGTGTGTGTGAGAGTGTGCGTGTATCTCAGTGTGTGTGTGTGCATGTATCTCAGTGTGTGTATGAGAGTGTGCGTGTATCTCAATGTGTGTGCATGTATCTCAGTGTGTGTATGAGAGTGTGCGTGTATCTCAGTGTGTGTGTGTGCGTGTGCCTCAGTGTGTGACAGTGCGTGTATCTCAGTGTGTGTGTGTGTGTGTATATGTGAGTCAGTGTGTGAGTGTATGTCTGACTCTGACACCCTTGAACGTGTGTTTGCTGGTTCCTGCCCCCAGGGGTCAGGCTGACACTAATTATTCCTCGCACTGGGGCCATGGATGGATTATCGCCATTAATAATTACTATTCATTATTAATAATTATCACCATTACCATTAATAATTATTATTACATTTATTTTAACGCCTTTCGTGTCAGGAGGATGACTCAAAGCGCTTCACAGGATTCACTGTAAAGTGTAGTGACTGTGTGTCTACAAATGGCCTCTCCTAAGCCAGTGCGGAACCCTGGCGTGTTGTTTGACCCTCGACTACCCGTTCTACCCCACATCTCCTCCATGACCCGCTCTGCCTTCCCCCACCTCCGCAACATCGCCGGCTCCGACACCGTCTCACACCGCAGCCCCTGAGACCCTCACACCCACCTTCATTACATCCAGGCTTGACTACGCCAACTCCCTGCCTGTCGGCCCCCAACTCCTCCCTCCACAGGGCTGCAGATCCTCCAGCCTGTGTCCTCTGGGGGGCGGTGGGGCGGGGGGGAGCCTTGTTAATAAAGGATGGAATAAAAACAGTAGAAAGGAAAGATTTCAAATCAGATAACCGGGATGTAGAGACGGCAATGGGTAGAATTCCAAAACAACAAGGGGCAGAAAACATCAGTGGGAGTAGTTTATAGACCCCCAAACAGTGATCACAGCGTAGCGCAGGGTGTTAATCAGCACATTACAGGAGTGTGTAGCAAAGGTAATACAGTATTCGTCGGTGATTTCAATCCTCACATAGATTGGGAAAACCAAATCGGCAAAAGTAGGGCAGAGGAGGAGTTTATAGTGTATGAGAGAGCTTTCTGGAGCAGTAGCTGAGGAACCAACTCAGGGACAGGCCATCCTTGGCCGTGTTTTGTGTAACAATACAGGACGAGTCGGTAATACAGATATTAAGGCTCCTCCAGGGCAGAGTGATCGTAACACGATCGAATTAGGTATTGGGTTAGACAGCGATGTAGTCAAATCCGAAACATGGGTCTTAAATTTAAATTTAAATAAGGCTGACTTTGCAGGTACGAGGGAGGAATTAGCTAAAATAGACTGGGAATTAGATTCATGGATATGACAATAGACCAACAGTGGCAAATGTTTAATTCTCTGCCACGTTTCGCCCACAAAACATACAGTGAATCCACTTTACAGTGTATCCTGTGAAGCGCTTTGAGACGTCTCGACGACCTGATTCTCAAAATTCTCAGTGGTCACATATTCCCTTCAGGAATAAGAGTACCACAAATATACAGTCGCCCACAAATGTACAGTCAATTCACTTTACAGTGTGTTCTGTGAAGCGCTTTGGGACGTCCTCCCGACGTGAACAGCGCTATATCAAATGCGAGGATTATTATTACCACAGGGAAAGCAGTTGATCCGTGGCTAACTGGAGCAGTTAGAGAAAGTATAAAACTAAAAGAAAAGGCCTATAAAACTGCCCAAAAGAATAGCAAACCTGAGGACTGGGGGTGTTTTAGGGATCAGCAAAGGAAAACCAAAAAGCTCACCTTCAAAGCCCTCCATGGCCTCGCTCCCCCCCCGACCTCTGCCATCTCATAACCCCCTACCATCCCGCTCTCTCCCTCCGCTCAGCGGGCTCCGGCCTGCTTCACGGTCCCCCCCCGCCTCGCTCGCCCCCACTATTGGCGGGCGGGCCTTCTGCCACTCTGCCCCCACCCTCTGGAACTCCATCCCGCAGTCCTTCCATCTCGCCCCCTCCCTCGCCCCCTCCCTCGCCTCCTTCAAGACGCATCTCAAGACCCTCCTCTTCGACCGTGCTTCCGATCTCTCTGCTTCCCCTCCTGCCCCCCACCCTCCCGGATCCCGACCCCCAGTTCGGGTCGGAAATTCCTGACGTGAAAGGCGCTATCCACATATCATTTTGTTGTTGTTTGTTGTCTTGCTGAAGACTCGTACCTGTTCTCTCATCCCCTCTCAGAACGCTCCCCCCAACCCATCCCATAAGTCAACAGATGGTGTGTTAGTACATGCTCCAGGCGTGTTGTTGTCGTGTTCGTGGGAATGGAATGTGAGCTCCACCTGGTGCATGAGTTGTCTTGCCCGCTCCTCACCCTCCATTGCCGGGAGCTATGCTGTCATGTTATATCTGCCCTTTACGGTTGAGACATTAAACCTCACTCTCTCCCCCATCTGTGCCCTGTTCAGACCGGACGTTGAAGATCTCCCGCGGGCGCTGTTGTGGGTGGGGCGGGGAGTGGAGCGGGAAGAGAAGGGAGTTTCTCTCTCTACTTCTCTCTCTCTCTCTGTCCCGGTGTCCTGACCTGCAGATGAAACCGCTGGCCCGCTTCACGGGCGTCGCGAGGCGCAAATCGGCTGCCGAGTTCGCCCACAAATATGCAGTCACTGCACTTCATCGTTGCGAAATGTTATAGGCGGGTAACATAACGATAGTAATCCCGGCATTTGACACGGCGTCTTATCAGGTCGTCGAGACGTCTCAAAGCGCTTCACAGGATACACTGTAAAGTGGATCCACTGTATGTTTTGTGGGCGAAACGTGGCAGACAATTGCGCTCGGCGACGTCCCCACACAAACAGTCGTGAACTAATTCTTTTTGTGGAGGGATTACTACCCTCGGAAAGCGATCCGCCAATCGACTAACACTACTTACCGCTGGGTACACGGTGCGTGTGTGTGT